CCGGAATCTCAACAACTTGTGTGAGGTTCCCTTGTCCAACCGAGATCGCTTTCGGGGCCCTTCAATTTTCCACGTAGTTGGTAGCTCATGCTCGGAGCTACGTGCAGAGACAAAGACTGGCAGCGCTGGGCGAAGAACGAAAACTGCTGCCACCCAACTCTTGAAGAGTCTCGTGGCCATTTAGGTCAACTCACTTCTGGAAGCGGATGGGCAGAGCGCAGTCAGAGGCAAACGGCAACAACCCCTCTGATCATGCGCAGACTGCGCCAAGCAGTTACGTAGTGAATCTTCAGCTCCAGCATAACCTGGGCAGATTTCATTGCACCATGGCCAAGTGCCGCACTTGAAGATTGGACCTCCGTCTTGGAATTTACATACCTGGCCACACTTTGGGATCGATTGCAGGCAGTTGACGCAAGGAGGTCTAGCACTTCAGAGAGACCTCGGGGTATGGGGCTTAGGATTTATAGGGTTTAGGATTTAGGGTTTAGGCTGTGGTACGCGCCCTGGTTTCGCCGGGCAGCTAAGGCCACGGGCTCTGTGGACTTCGAGCTGTGGCACTCCTAGCGAGCCGGTGTGCGGAATTTGCTATACTATAACAACTTTAAATCTTTACCTATAATATTTTGGAGGTCCTTATTATATTTATGATTTATTCCAAACATTGGGCCCCCTACTTTACAGTGTGTGGGTCACTCATAAATTCACGGTAAATGCCTGAAGCCGGGCATTGTTTATGCAACCACTGGAAAATGCGAGATCCACATCAGCATCCGAATTCATGCAAGTTACAAGTAGCGAGCTTCGAAGTGTAAGGTTGAGGTTCATGCTTCTCGAGCTTTGTCGGAACGCCCAAATCCTTCGTATTCAAAACCCCGAACCCGCAGGCCTCAGAATCTAGATGGACTCTAATCCTTCAGGGATCATGAGTCAGGTTGGACCACTACCTCCACGAGCTCGAGTTCGCATGTTCGTCGCGCACTGAGGTCTTGTCGTTCAGGGGATATTTAGTGGTCGGAAAAATGCAGGAAACAGCAACCCTGAGCCATTTTGCACCCGAGCTGTCGAGGCTCTCTGTCCAGAAGCACGGCGAAGCAGGAATTAGCGTGGCTGTAGGGTGTAAGGTATCCGGGGCTCGCACGGTCTAGGACCTAGGATGATACTTTTGAGATTCTGTTGGTGGCCAGTGCCGGGTCATCTGCCGTCGCTGGCCTTGGTCGCATCGGCCAGAATTTTTATGTTTCAGGAGATCTATCAACGATCAAAGAGACTTGACTAGGTTTCAAGCTGAAGTCTGTCGAAGTACAATGGCTATAACCTCTAGCTAGCCCCAGTGCTTAGAAGTCTGTCGGCAAAGGGCAGGCTCCGGATCCCACGGCCAACGCTTGACCACCAGCTTCCAACCTGCAACGGGGCCGAAAGGACCAGCAAGAGCCTGTGAAGGTCCGTAACTATGGCGACGAATCTCCTGAACGTCGCCGCCTTTGAGGCCATGCCATGTCAATTTGCCCATCACTTTGCGCGGTTCAGGGTCAAAGTCGGCTCAAGTGTTCGAAGTTGCTCTTGCCAATAAGGGGCAGGGTGGTACGTGAGCCGGGTAGCTGAAGCTGCTGGTGTGTTTTTGGGTTGGCTTACCTTGCCAGGCAGGCTTAATGTGAACCTTGCATGGCATGTCCAAGAGTGAGCACTGAATGAGTCTTTTTACACAGCTCAGTATACCCTGAGATACCAGCAATCTAAACGTCCGGACTTCAAGTCCAACCTATTTTGGGAGCCACATGGGCTGCAACAAGTGAGAAGAAAGGGTTCGAGAAGCACCCGCCGCACAACTTTACACGTGAGAGCAAGTATGCCCCTGCCTCGATGCCCACGAAAAGTTCGAAACACCTGAACCTCGGAGCTGCAGAGGCGGCATAATGTAATGACCCTCGAAGGAATGTACAATGCAGAGTGCTGTAGTGTGTGCATGCTTACCTTCGTCTCATGTCGTGAGTATGTTACATAGCAAAGAGCTGGAGGTCTATGTTATATTAGAACATTCTATGTCATTGTGCCAGGTTCCTGTCTCATCCTTAGATGCCGCCGGCCATCTCCCCGAAAATGATGGGCCACGGGCTCTGTAGGTGGTGGTTCACGGGCTTGGGGGCCTTTAGGGTTTAGGGGAAAAGGGACTGGAGCTTCAAGTTTCGAAGCTGAGGGTTCATTAGGCAGGTATGCCGCATCAGAGTCTGTCACGTGAGAGATGCGTTTCAGCATGTGTTTCTGAAGTAGCCGGCGCCAGGATGGGAAGCTACTCCCGACGTACAGTTTACCGAAAGTGCTCGCAGACTCATGACGGAGCGTGCACGATGAGTACGTGGGATGGTGCCTTGCAGCCTTGCGAGAATTGTCTCTGCGCGTGCTTGTCATCATGTTAAACAATCAACATGCAAAAGCAGCAGGGCACGCATGGTGGTGAGGGCTGCAAAGAGCATAAACTTGAGAATAATATTTGTAAGATCAATCGATAGCTGTAGAAACCTCAACAGTCGGAGCATAAGAAGCCGTCTTCACACCGCATTGTATAGCACGTCTCCCTGAGCCCTTCGCCTTAACCGCTCTGCCCAACCTAAGCCTTGCGCACTCTTCTTCTCCCTGCATAGCCACAAGCCCCAAATACCAGCAGTGCGATGCCAGATCTAAGAAACCCCAAAGCAGGCCCTGAATGTGAGACCACCCTGCCAAACCTCCCCCCATGCTAGCACAAAACAGTCTAACCCTAAACCTTCCAAAGAAACTCGACTACTAGTACAAAACATGTTATAAACCTGAAAACTTAACCTGTTCAGACCTGTTCAACCTCACAGACTCTTTTGCAGACGGAATATCTGCCCTTTAAAAGAAAAAATATACCCCTGCCAAATCGAGCAACCTCCCCGTGAGCCAAGGGAGTCGGCCTCAGAGTCCTCTGTGTCTCTGCGGGCACTGTGAAGGCCTCAGGACATCTAAAAACTTGGGAGTTTCCGAAAATTAGGGGGTGCCTTAGGGTTCCTTTCTAAGGATTCCTTGACAGGGCTGTACAAGGGTGTAGAGTTTCCGAAAGTTCGGGGAGGGGGGGGGGCAGTACCTTATATTGTGTCCTTAGAAAAAGGATCCTAATGTTTAGAGTGCTATATTCGGTTACCCTACTTTGGGAAACTAAAAGACTTCTTTGCTGGGACGGAAGGGTTCAGGGCTGGATGGGTTCAGGGCTTGTTTATGGTTTAGGGTCTACAGTAAACCCAGTACAGTTGGAAACCGGATCAATGCCGGATTCCCTTTACATTACGCTGAAGGATTGAGGCTGTCGGGTTTCCAACTTTTGGGCGTCTACTGCAAGCATTCAGGGCTTCATCAGGATATATATATATATATATATATAATTGAGGTCGAGGGTAAGCTTTCAGGGTGAGAGAAGGGGAGATAGAGAGGAGAGAGAGATGAGGGCTTTGGGCCTGATTTCACCAGATTTCCTGCGCTGCAGGGCCGTTCGATCCGTTGATACTGTAGCCGATCTAGCTGTAAAAGCTTGGACGTTGTCAGCTGCAATTACGCCGCAAGGCTCTTCTGCATCGCAACCTCTAGGACTCTAGTGGTAAAGTAGAAGGCTCAAACAGGCCGCACAGCTCCCGGCTTGCAGTTCGACTGCTGCTGCCGAGGCTGACGGCTTCCGAGAGGATTCAGGCCGTTAATTGGTGGCGGGGCGATTCCATAGTTGGGTTTGACGGATTGGGAGTTGTTTGTCGATTGAACTTCGTATGCCTGTATGATTTCAACGGCTACTCGGAGGTTGATAGTTATAAGTAGGGATACAAGTCCCCTAAACTGCTGTGGTCCACTATTTTCAACGTCATATGGTTGTTGAGTGTTGATTGGTATATTGTGGTTTAACCTTTGGATATTACAAATAGGCGCTCATGAGTCACCAGGCCACACATGTTGATGGACCTTGTGTGACAAAGCTTTGATTCTTGCGCGCCCTTTAAGTTAGGGCATCATCCCTTGGGACGCAAGAACTTAAGTGTGTGATGATTGTTTTTTGATTTGTATCTCAGCGGAGGTGTTCTTTTTGAGTTGTGACTCTTTGTACAAAAATTACAAGGGTGTTAGCACTGGAACACGCGATTTCTTAGTGAGTTATGTAAGTTGTGAGCCGGTGCTAAATCACAGTAGCTACGTACCGTCGTGGGATAATTGTTGAGGCTCTGAGCTAGCTGAGATCAGGACGTTTTTGGACGAGCGGGCGACCTTTCCGTCAGCCCGGGGCAGCTTTTCTCGAAGGCAGGTGCCGGGCATGTGTAGCGCAGGGACCAGGTTCATGATGCGAATAGTCGCAACCAGCCAGAGTTGCGTTCAGCCCATATAACTATAACTAACATAGCATATATAATATAATATAATATAGTATAAAAGGTAACAAAATCTAATATGATATGATACATATATATATATATATATATACATACACATCGGCAGAGAGAGAGAGAGAGAGAGAGAGAGAGATATATATATATATATCTATCTATCTATCTATCTATCTATATATATATATATATATATATATAATGTATATAGATGGTCCTATGGGGAGCCTTTCGGGTAGGGCTGGCTATCGCAGCTATCACTTACCTAGCGACTTCATGTAAAGTTGATGTGCTGATTCATCCGGTTCTTCCCTTTTGGCTTGAACCTTCGTGTTTCTCTCCTATTATCGCCCAGAGTTTTGCATGAGATCGGCCGAGCATTTGCCTTGGACTTACTTTGCCATGCTCGCACCTGTAAAGCCTTCCAGGGTCGACGGAACAGCTTCATGCGCTTCCCTGTCAGAGAAGCCAGTATGAGTCACGAACATGATTCTACATGCGTGTGTGCATGTGCTAGCCCCTGTGTTGATTTCTCTTCATGGCAACCACCAGCAGAAGACGTCATAGTTCATCGGTAGCAATGCTGGTCTTGTGCTGAGCCTCTGGGCAGTTGGTCCAATGCAGCCCAACCATGAGAAAGCAGTAGGAGTTTTGGAAGCGAGAAGTGAGGAGACTCTGGAAAGACTGGCTTCAGAAGTGGAGACCTTGGTGGAGGAAGCTGATGGACTGGCACTGTGCTTGACTCTTTTCGAAAACTCCAAATCTATGAAGTGGCGAGAGGCAGAGACAATTCTCCGCAAGGTTCTGTTCCAAGCGACAGAGAAGGGTGGAGAGAGGTGGAAAGTGCAGTATGTCACGTCGTTGCTGCGATGTCTTCGCGACGGCATGCTGGAACTACCGGCGAAGCTGCAGGAGCTTGGTTGTGGCACCAAGTGTGCTGCCAACCTGCAATCGAAGCTGCGCAAGGAGGTCAGTGTGGCTTGCCGAGAGTTCCTGCAGACCGTAGGGTATGAGCTGCTGGATCTGCACGAGTTGGTCGCATCAGCTCCGAGATGGATGCTATGGGAGCTACTCGACCCTCCCACCTTGGTGAGATTGCCAGAGGATTTCGCGTGCCTGGAGATGGTGTTAAAGGACCCGAAGCAATGGGGCTTGGGTTTTGGCTCAAGCTTTCCACGAAAGCTTCGCTGGCTGAAGGCGTTGCAGCCGCATGCTGAGTCCGAAGCACAGGCACAGCATTGCTATCAGAGGCTTGTGGACATCTTCGTGGCTTCCCTTGCAGCTGCTTTTGCCCAAGGCCACAAGTTACTGGGTTCTTGCTAAGAAACTTACCATAATAAGGAAGCCATAATATTCACTAACTATAGATTCTATAGATCCTTATTATGGTAGCTTTAAGTACATTCCTTATCAAGAACTCAGGCTACGAAGAAAGACGAAGCCTGAGTTGGAGCTGCTTCAAGAGGTGCGGCAGCTTTTGACTGAGGGGGAGCTCCCTGAGGATCTGAAGGCTACACTTCTCAGGGTGCCTTCGGAGAGCGGTCCTAGAAAATCCGGCTCTGGCTCTGAAGTCTCGGGAAAAGGAGGGAATCGCCCGGACTTGTCTTGCTTCCCGGTTCTTCGGATGCCGGCGAGCGCCTCCTGCACTTGGGTTGACACCGCTGAGTCCTGGGGCGGGCGAGCGCTTCCGAGGCTCTCCAGGGCCGAAGTCGCTGCTATTGACACCGAGTGGGGCCCGGACCTTGGCAAGGGCCCCGTGCTCGTGCAAATCGCGGTGGGCGATGCTTTGGAAACTGCCGAGTGCTTTTTGATCGATACTCTCCTGGGACCGCCTGCGCTGGCTCTTTGCCTGCTCCGATGGTTGCGAACATCCGGTCTCCTGCTTCTCGGCTGGTCGTTCACGCAAGACATGAAACGTTTCGCTGAGTTGGATCATTGGGTGAGGGCCGCGCTTCCTGCAGACGAGGAGGGTTTGCAACGAGACATGGTGCCAGAAGCCATGCAGGTCTATGACTTGCAGAGTCCACTTCAGAAGCTGATGAAGGCGACGGATCAGCCCTCGCTCTCTTTCGCTGCGGCTCATTTGCTCGGCCATCGACTGGACAAGGCTGAGCAGTGCAGCGATTGGTGTTGCAGACCATTGAGTGAAGCCCAGCAAGCTTACGCTGCTTTGGACTCTGCAGTGCTGCTTGAGATGCACAAGGAGCTGCAGCGACGAGGTGCTGGGTGAGATCTTGGCAGGCCATGTCTTCATAGCCAGAGCTTGCAACGAGCCTTTGCATGGATTGGAGTTCAAGGGACCGCATGTTTTAACTTTCGCGGTGCGTCTTCGGTGCCTTTTCCCTACAGACCCTAACGCATTGCCGGCCCTCTATGGTAAAGTCCCAGCCCAGAACGGCAAACTGCAAAGCCCTTCCCAGCAAACTACTCGAACAACTTTCGCCCGCGATAAAAGCCCTGGACCCAAAAGCGGAAACCCGAACTAAGCACTAAACATAGAATGATCCAAAAACTCGCAAGTTTGTGGGTTTACATGCTGCTTCGGGAAGCTTTCAGTGTCACCAGCTTAGCGCCGTAACCCCAATCTGACTGAAGGCAGACATTTCACGGCCGACTCGTTCGCCAGCGGAGCTTCCGAAAATGTGTGGCTATTTTTCAATCAGGGCTTTCCGCAACATGGCTCCCGACACCCTGGACCCAAACAGCCAATGTAGGAACCTGACGAAAACACTTTGGGCCTTTATTAGGGTTCCTTATACATGAATCCTGCTATTTTAGGGTTTTGGCCCAGGGTTTCTTAGTCAGGTTCCTACATTAAGCCCCGAACCCCCGACCCTAAACCCCAAACCCTGCTGTGTCCGAGTTGCGAGAGGGTAAACCCCAACCCAAAACCCTTTTCACCCTAAGCCCTAACCCCCCCGAAAGCAGCCATGAAAGGCTCCTCACTCCGAATGGTCTTTGCTCATGGACTCGGCCACTCTCCACGCGGATTGCCTGGTCCGACAGGAGTTTAACAGAAGGGCTTGGGGATGCCTAAAGGGGCTCAAACAATTACCAATAATATTGGGGGGGTGTTCCTATTGTGATCATAGTATAATGGGCCTCCAAAACCACATTCTAATATGTAAAGCCCTATAGGCCCTATATAGTAGGCTTTTGGGGTGTCCTGTGTGGTGCTGACCAAGCCCAATAATACGGGGCCCTTGATCATTGTACTATCATTATAATGGTGAACCCCCCCAAACAGTATAGGTAATTATTTAGGCCGCTATAGTAGAATTAAGCCGACCTTGAACCGCACCCAAAAACGGGCCACGGCTTCTTAGCTCGATGGGAATGATTGTCGCACTCTGCTATGATAATAACTACTTCCAGGAGGGAAGCAGGACTGCAGGCCCAAGAATGGAAGATGCGGCTGCTGTCGATTTTGTTAAGCTTGCTTTTGTCCAACAGGAATGATTAGTTATGGACGCGAAATGAATCCCCGGAGGATCCAGCCTCAGGCATCCTTGCGGAAGGGGCAATAGTGCTATCAGTGACGCTTGGAGGTTCTTTTATGGTAGCTACATTATGGCTCTCTTATCTTACTATTCTTGCAGCCAATCGAAACAGCGGTGCCTTCAACTCTGGCACCCGCAGGACCCTTAAAAGTAAGGGCCCTATGCCCGTATACTATGAATCCCTATATCGTATATATGAACCTTCAACCCTGTTAGGGTTTCCCACATACTATGAATCCCTATATCGTATATATGAACATTTAACCCTGTTAGGGTTTCCCACATACTATGAATCCCTATATGGTATATATGAACCTTCAACCTTTTTAGGGTTTCCCACATACTTACTATGAATCCCTATATGGTATATATGAACCTTCAACCCTTTCAGGGTTCATGTCGTCCGGGCAAGAACAACAGAGCGACAGCCGAGCTGAGGTCCGGGCCGATGAGAAGTCGAGAGCTCGGGGTAGTTCCTTTAAGGGGTTACCATAAGGGTTCCTTGAAAGGGCTCTAAAAGGGTTTTCAGAGTTTTCGATAAGTTAGGGGTACATTATTTTGGGGTTCTCATAATTAGGATCCTACTGTTTAGGGTAATTACTTTATTATGGTCCCCTATTTTCGGGAACTCTCATCTGGAACCCAGCTAAGGCCTAGAGTCCTAGTCGTATTTGTGTTTCCGAAGATGGGGGCAATGGGGGGGGTGCTTCTGAACATCATTTCAATAGAAGTGCCCGAGGCCTGGATTCCTGCGCTATGCGCTGCATGTGTCGCGGAGCTCGCCGGGAGCTCGCGCGCTTCACCTGCCTGCAGCACGGGAGTGGATGACCCACAATTGTCACGCAACGAAACATGACTAGCAAAACTTTTCTGCTGCTGTGGAAGCACTTCCAGCAGCCGTCCAGGCCCAGAATAACTGGGCGGGCCTCCGTGGACAAGGACCCATGTTTGACTTGACCTGAACATGTCACTTTCACCAGCTTGCTGGTGAATACGGGCGCCTGGACGACTACGTCCGGCTGTTACGAACGGTCTGGCTTGCAATCCCTTAACCATACAAACCCTCCAGAGCGTGCAGAATGGAATCACGCTTGCTTCTTATTCGAGTCACTTGCTGAGACTACGACTTTGCTACAAATTTCCCAGAAGCTGCCCAAAGGAGGCCCTTTGGGAGTCCAGCGACTGGACTTCGCCCGAAGCCCAGGGTTTCGAGCACTGTGCGGTTCAAGGGTGCCTGGCAGAGGATGGGGGCTGTGATCCTTTAAGGCTCTCAGTCTCTACATCCATCCAACCATGAAGCCCGAGCTTTGTCCCCAGCAGAAGCAGGTTCAGGTTAAGTTAAAGCTTCACAAAAATGGTTTAGACAAGCACGCTTCGAGACTGTGTGAAGCAGAGACAGAGGCAGAGCGAGAGAGAGAGAGAGAGAAGGACAGACAGAGAGAGAGAGAGAGAGAGTTGTGAACGATGCGCGCGGCGTAGGGGAACTTCCCCTTCGCCATAGCCCTGACGAAAGAAAGAGTTGTTCACACCCCTCGTCCCGATTAAGCATATCGGGTGGGCATGATGCTTGGAGGGCTTTGACAGGCCCCTATGCCCGGGAGAGGGAGAGAGAGAGAGAGAGAGAGAGAGAGAGAGAGAGAGAGAAAGAGAGATAGAGAGCTATCTGCAAAACAGAGTGAGAAGAAAGAAAGAAAGCAAGCCCTCGGATAAAAGTTTGTTCTTGTTCCGGGGTCGCCTTTGGCCTGTTGTTGCCGAGCCTGGTTTTCAAATCAAAAAGGGCGCGAGCTTTGCCGTGTAATGCAGTCAGTCCTACAGGTCGATATGTATGTATATACTTATACATATATATATGTATATTTTTATTATTTGCTTATTTACAACAGCCATTCGCAAGAATCTGCACCTCCGTCGTGTTGAAATCCACGAGTAGGAGTAGGAGTAGTAGTAGCAGTAGCAGTACCAGGAGGAGTAGTAGTAGTAGCAGTAGTAGTAGCAGTACTAGTTACTAGTAATTAGTAGTAGTAGTAGTAGTAGTAGTAGTAGTAGTAGTAGTAGCAGTAGTAGTAGGAGTAGCAGTAGGAGTAGCAGTAGCAGTAGCACTAGCAGTAGCAGTAGCGGTAGCAGTAGCAGTAGCAGGAGCAGGAGCAGGAGCAGGAGCAGTAGCAGTAGCAGTAGCAGTAGCAGCAGCAGCAGTAGTAGTAGTAGTAGTAGTAGTAGCAGTAGCAGTAGCAGTAGCAGTAGCAGTAGCAGTAGTAGTAGTAGTAGTAGTAGTAGTAGTAGCAGCAGTAGTAGTAGTAGTAGTAGGAGGAGGAGGAGGAGTAGGAGGAGTCGGAGTAGGAGTAGGAGTAGTAGTAGCAGTAGCAGGAGGAGTAGTAGTAGTAGGAGTAGCAGTAGTAGGAGGAGGAGTAGGAGTAGGAGTAGGAGTAGGAGTAGTAGTAGCAGTAGCAGGAGGAGTAGTAGTAGTAGTAGTAGTGGTAGTGGTAGTGGTAGTAGCAGGAGTAGTAGTAGTAGCAGTAGTAGTAGTAGTAGTAGTAGTGGTAGTAGCAGCAGCAGCAGCAACAGCGCTTCGGCGAATCGTCACCACCAAATCCTGACCCCTCGCACGATCAGAAGCCAGTCTCGATCCGACACACCCCGACATCCCTGCCTCCGGCTTAAGTTTAGAAGGGGTAGATAGTAGCGGAGAAGCACATGTAAGGTCTCATACAACCGTACTCATATCCAGTGGCAAATACGCAACTATAAACCCAGGAGCCGTGAAGAAATGCCCTGCCATGTCAGGCCCCTGGATTTCCAGATCGAGGCCGTGGTGCCCAGACCGGGGAGTCTAAGCGATAGCTTTCAAGTTTTGCGCTTGACGGTGTTTCATGGGCCCTGGTTCAGGGCCTTGATCAAGCTGGGGCCGTGCAGAGCATGCACAGATCTACCTTTGATGGACGGAAAGCCGTTTCTGCGTGAGTGATTCGATGTCGAAGAATTTATACTGTAAGTGTTCATGCCGGTTCAGGGTTGAGGTCAAAGGGTTTGTGAGTTTAGGACATTTGGCGGGTTCAAGATATAGTGTGTACGGATGAGGTTGAGCCTGTGCACCCAGAACTCAAAACCGACGGTTTAATGGTTTCCAGGTCCTTCAGGACGAACATTCGTTATTCCAGCTGATCTGGTACTGTATAGATTCTTCAGAGCGGGGCCTATAGAACCCGAAACTTGTCTTGATCCAGCGCTAAGCCTCTGGACCTAGAGAGAGCAGAGAGATAGAACCCTCATCCCCTGCTTGGGAGAACAAGAGCCCCGCTGGCGTTGTTCACTTCAGCTCTCATGCTGAGGTTGCCCTCGATGCCCTGCTAGAGGCGTGTGGAGCTTTTGTCAAGCAGGTCTTTGTCTTGAGGTTTCAAAGATGGCACGGGAAGTCTTTGGAAATACATGTGCTAGCCTGGCTGCTTTTGGGCCTGGTGAGAACAAGTGGTACGATTTCGCAACAAAGAAATCCGGCATCAATGGAAGCTCGACACTAGCTGCACAGTGATGGAATGCAAAGCCCTGCGCAGAATGACGCGCGCCGCACCCAAACAGGCATTCTCTCTCGCTCTGTCTGTCTCCGCTTAAGCCCTGGAGCACTTGCAGACCCTAGTTGCTCAGTGTACCCGAAGGAAACTCGTGAGTCCGGAATCTCAAGCGAAGCACGTTGTCCAACCAGCCACGATTTGTCGAAGGGCGTCTCGCAGCTGACACTTCCTGGTGTCCTCGAGGGTGTGAGCCCTGTCCTTCAGCTCCTTGCTGCAGGGTCCATAGGCAGACTCCATATACTCAAGCTATGGTGTTTCGGATTGTGCTACGGTGGGCGAAGAGTTCCACTGACTACGCCAAGGATCACAGGCACTTGTATGGAAAGGAGGCTCGACTCCGTCAGGGCTTTCATCTGTGACCTGTGATCTCGAGCACAAATGTGAGGGGTTTCCGATAATTAGGGGTACCTTAGTTGGGGTCCGAATAATAAGGATCCTAGTATTTAGGGTACTATATCGGGGTCCACTATTTTCGGAAACTTCCATGTGGGAAGGGTGGGCAATTTCTTCTAGGCTGCGCTGCATGGGACAGCCCGGTACGCAGAGTTACTGCAGCCGAAGCCGCTATAGGTAAGGAATTCGAGGCCCTCCTGTTCCGAACTACCCATTCACCATCGGTACACGCCGCCGGACATGCTATGTAATGACTCATAATAACTTCTGCACGAGTTGTGGGTCGTTGGCCATGTAGCATCTGAGTGTGCGTATGTGTCATCGGTTCAGTGGCGAGAGCTGGAGGCTAGAGCCAGGTATCGTGGGTTACCGTCGGACCGTACGCATATAAGGCCTTCACTGCTTCAGAAGACGTAGGCGAAGTTTCCAGCAAGGGAAGACCGCTATGAGTCATGCTGGGCCTGGCTATCTTGATGGCTTTATGGCTTCAAGATTTTTCTCGGTTGTTGTGTTGTATGAAGGAGAAGTCCATAAGGTTCCAAGCCTGGCATACGTGGCAGTTGTCATGCAAGTCTTGTGATGACCCGCCGGCTTCAGTGAAGCAGCGTCTTTTTCCCATGTCCTGCACATGTTTGTCGTCCATCAGTTTGCCTCAGACACCCACCGACTCGTTGGGTAGACATGAAACCTCAACCTTGAACTGAATACAAGAGCTATGGAGCAGAAGCTCCTACCCACCCGAAGCCAAAAAGGAAACCCTCAATGCATACACAAAAAAAGCGACCTTTACCCGCTTTTCCCGACGCCCAAACCTGTGAACCGTCATCGCGAGCGATTGGACCTTGATGCCATGGGTCGAAGAGCCTCGGCTTCGGCGCTGGATGTGAAGGCATGTGGGAGTTTCCGAAAATTGGGGGTTCCTTACTTATACTATGGATCCTACTGGTCCTACTATATACTTAGGGTACTATATTGGGGTCCCCTATTTTCGGAAACTCCCATTTGGGCTTGGGGTTTCGGGTTCTGGGGCTCAGCATCTTAAGATGTCTTAGGTTGGAAGTTGGCAATGTCCTCTCTCTGGCGGTTAAGTCCTTAGGGGATGTAGTTCAGGGTGGAGATTGAGGGCGGTGCGGGGCTCCCACGGGCAGTATACATGGTTCCAGACCATGATGGTTAGAGGTTTGCTTGAGTCTGGCAAGCTCACAATCCTGAGAGACCCCAAAAACACCAAACTGTCATGCTTGGGAATATCCTTACTGATTTGCGGTATCATCCAACAAACGAGTATCGAAGCATCCCCCGCATTCCCGAACAGTGGTCCGCTGCAGGGCAAAGACAACTTCTCCAAGATCCGTACTCCATCAAGGTTGAGGCCCCGTACGGTGGGTGGGGGGGGGCTTGGGTCGTCGCTTTGGAATGCATGTTGTAGAAGTGGTAGCTTCGGCTGAGTCTTGGGACTGATTTCGTGCTCGGTTGCAGGTCCGAAGAGCCTTTGAGAGCTTAGACTCTTAGACTTGTGCGAGGGCTCAACACTGTCTTCAGCAGCCTCTTGCAGAAGCTCCGGCAAAGTGGGACAAGAGAACCAAGACTGGGTGCATACACGAGGCAAAGGAGGCGGTTGTCGCATTGAGACTCCTCTGCGTGCGGGGTGGCACGAGCAAGTGCAAGTTCGAGCATGTCCTTAAGACATCTTGGTAGTAATCGGTTGATGTGTAGGTTTCTCGTTTGCAAGGCTTTTGCGCAGCACAGAATTGTACTAGACTTGTTGGACAGCAACAGCCAACCACTGAGCGACGATATCCCTGGCTTTCATAGTGCTTTCATACCCGCTCCCGGTCCTTCACGGACCACGGATCTGGCCAGGCTGGATGAAGCCAGCAGACTTTCGGATTGCAATTGGAGGGTTTAGGGTTTATCCAGGACCCCGTAGATGGCTGTTGCTTCTTGGACCACACATGGCCTGTTCCTGTCGTGGTCAGGCTGCGTGCAGTAGCTGGGCATGAGTTTAAACAACCACTACTCAAGGTCACAGGTTCCCGGTGTAGTCTCAGCATGGTGGACTGGAAGAAACAGACGCTTTGGCATAACCACAGGCGACATAGACTATTCACACTACCCATGCCACAAATGATATCGACGTTAGGCCATGACTATTCTGGGATACTGTTGCACAGCATCTACACCTCGCAACCTGCTTGAAAAGGAAGGCATACCTAGCCTCACATGGTATCCCAAATGTGGGAACCTCACAAGCTTAAGACCTGGCGTCACGACTCGTACAAAGCGTGCCGGTGCATTCCACCAGAGTCTTCAGTAACCCGTCTACCAGTCGCAAAGCCATCCTCGTGCGTCTTTCAATCTGTGATATTGGGGCAGCTGCATGCTGCAGAAGTACAAGGACACGACCAGTTACTATGCTAAAGTAGACATTTTGGTGCGGTTCGAAAACACAAGTACAAGCACACCAAACCGGTATGATGCTAAAGTACAGGCACCGAGCTCAGGTCCGGGCCCTCCTTGTACTTTCCATCGTGTTTGCGCATCTGCCTTTTCATAGAAAGCCCACCATCTCCCCATCCAGCAGTGTTCCGGGTCTGGGCTCGCCTCGCACTTTGCATCGTACCTGGTTTCTTTTGCCTAGTAGTGCAGTTTCAGTTTCGCAGTGTACTGTGTATAGCACAATCTCTTTGGTGCGATCTACCTGTCTGAAATACACAATGAACGTTACGTGATTGTTTACAAGACTCATCGCCAAATTGCTACCACCCACTTTTGGGTTTTGGAATCAAGAAGGGGTTGAAGGCTTAGGGCTTTAGAGAGTTAAGTCCGAAAGAGACCAGAGACCCCCCCGATCGCGAAAGACCTATATATATATATATAAACCTCGAAACCTGAAATCCTAAATCGTTAACTCATGGCAAGGGATTCTCGCTGATCAGTGGTAGGTTCAACAGACCTGGAACCAAATATGCCTCGCCTGGATTGTCCGAGCGTGAGCGCCGAAACCCTGAAACCCTATAAGCCTTATTCACCCAAACGCCCCCGAGGTCCCAATTCGAGCCGGGCCAAGAGCGCGAGCCCACAGCCGACGTCGAGTTCCAGCCCCCGTGGCTCCGAGGGCAAAGAGGTTTCAGGGGTATTCAACACTAGTTTTTCTGTTAATTGTTGGTTCCTTTTATCCCTAAGCAACAGCTAGAATTGTAGTTATTGCCAGGTGTCTAAGTTCAGTATAGAGGTGGGTTTCAGGCGGTCGAGTTGAGGAATGGAGGGTGTAGGAGTCAGGTCTACGATGTACATAGGGTGTTGGAGGCCGCAGGATTTTGCGATTCATTGGTTTGAGAACACTCCGCTTGAAGGTTTCTGCCGGGAGGGGTTTACAGTGGTGATGCGAAGTAACAGCCCGTTCGCTTCAAATCTGCACACAGCACACCTTATGCACATGCCTCGCCCAGTTTGCCTCAAACACGTATATGATGTATGTACGTGGTGTTGGTTGTTTGTGTTTTGTGCCTATGTTTCCCCTGCAATTAGATGCACTGGCCTCAAGGGAGTGCCGGGGCGATGACGAGGTACGGCCGTCGATGTCGGCCTGTCTCGAGAGGCCTACAGCAAGGTCTGGCTGCATTAGGGCTGGAAGGGAGTCTTGAAGGCAGTACTTATCGGAGGCTTTCGCATGTATGCGTACATGCGCCGGCCCGCAGACGACCTGTTTGTTCTTGTGCGCCAAGGGAGGCTAGACACGAAGTCCGTGCCTTCAGCTGCAATGCCAAACAAAAGCCAAGCAGGGCCCATGGCTTCATGCGCTTGCTGGTACCACTGGCCTAGATCCCGCAAGCCGCTGTGATGTTTGTTGCGGTGAGGAGGATGAAACCAAGAAATGTGACGATTATGATAGTGGCTACCACAGCGATGTTGATGATGACAATGGTCACGATGCTGACGGGAGATGTCGGTGGCATCACATTAGATTTGACCAACATCGACACCATCTGCACCATCGTCCCATCTTCCTCTGCATCATTACCATTCCTTATCAGCCTTGTGGCTGGGACTTGTGGATGTATGCGAGGCCATTCCTTGCCTGGTGTTTATGGACCCTGAAGGCCCGCAACATGCTGATAGCCGCGCGGAAATCCAACGTGGGATTTGAAGACGAGGACGAAGTCTTTCAGGGGCGACTGGAGGCCTAGGGGTTCCAGGAAGTCCGGGGCTCGCAGTTTGAACTTGCGTTTCACGATGTTTCACGCGCGATTCTTGGCAGTCACCTCCACGGTACGCTGAAGGCAACAAACTGTCCAGACAGCTGAAGTCCATCTCAAACCCCTGTAAAGCCTCAAACCCCTAAGCCCCATAAGCTCTATTCATCTCGTGCAGGATACCACCGAGTCGAAAGAGGAGACGAGCGGATTCAAGCGTGTGGGCAAGGCCTGCAAGCACAAAGCAAAGAATTAACTCCAAGCCTACACCCTTGAGGCTTTAGGTATTGGTGGGTTTCTCTGCTGTTTCTTAATTTGTGTGTGTGTGTGTGTGTGTGTTGTTGGTCTCTCTCTCTCTCTCTCTCGCTCGTTCCGTTTCGCCTTTATGTATGAGCGTTTGTGTGCGTCCCGTGTATGAGTTTGTACATGTATGCTGTATGCATATAAACACAAGATGTGTGCATGCAGGACCTAAGCCATCAGAAGCGGTTATAAGCATCCAGCGATCAACACAGTTTTGCCGCGGAAGGAAGAGGGTGACATAAGGCAACCATATCGAAGAGATGGAAAAACGAGCTTCGATGTGTTACGACGCGTGCGAGTGATTTGCGCTGGTGCTGAAAGTCGCAGGCTCCTCTCATTCCGACAACATGAATACATCCTAAGGGCACCAATAAAGAATTAAGCAAACAACGAAGTAGTAACATTAGCGCGACATTTGTCTTTAACAGTGGTACGTG